AAATGTTTTGCCACGGGAGGTCTATCAATGACGTCATCCTGTGCGACATAAAGTTTACTAATGTGCGCCATGAGCCATGTGTTTTGACCATCCGTGTGCACTTTGTTTTCTGCGCCATGGACGACGACATCTTTGAAAAGTCGATATCACATGTGCTTTTTAGTTTTTCTGAAGGAAGTCATTAAGTTCATGAGCGTCATATTGGATAATAATTGATAACTATTGTTTGCTGGGATGTAGTTGGATCTGCATAGTTGATATCCCGTTTCGACCTTTCTGTTTCGATTACCGTATTTGTGCCTCACAATGTAACACTGCAATTCGTAGTTGAGTGCCTTTCTTAACCAAACTGACCATTGCTCTTCAGTAAGCGAATACACCTCCTTTTCTTCTCTTCCTTTTCCCTTTCGGAAGTCGGACTGACTCTTTGAGATCCCCTCCCCCATTATTTCACCTAATTTATTTTTTAAACAGTTTCTTTATTTCTTCGGTGATACAGACCAAAGATATATTTAGGTGCAGGGGTTGGGTCGGAATATCTAGCGCAACCAGCTGGCTACAATTCCTATCATCGCGGATCGGCTCAGCGGCTTCGTAATGTCGTAATTCCTCCACCACCACGGCCAAGGTAAAATAAGGCTCTGTGATCCATTGATATAATTGAAACATCAAAACGATTATTTTCAAGAAGCGTTGGCGAAACTGAAGCTCCTTGCTTGCCTCCTGATAGTTTTCATCCCCATCGCCACAACACTTTTGTTGACCAACGCATCGTTGGGAACATCGTGTAGGTTCACTATCGTTAATACTCTACTTGTACGTCCATCACAGCTAATACGTTCTAGTTCGGAGAGCACAAATCCGTCAGCCGTAGACGATGCAGCGCGAAGGAGATGTTCTACGACCAGCCAGAAATCATCACATGGAGTATTTTCTGTTCCTTACGTGAATATTTCCCCACAGGAGGTCTTCAATGATGGTGAGCTCTCGTAATAACCATTCGGAAAACAGTGTATTAGTTGCTTTTAATTTTAGCTCCTTCTCCGCCGAGATCTCATGCACTTTCCACATCAAGCAGTCAAGGAAGTCTTCCAGGCACTCCTACACGCACTGTTTTTCCCGTTGCGATGGTATGTTATCATGATGTAAATTTCTCACTAAGCGTGACAGTTGCCGGGATGGTTTCCCGATCAAATGAGACCACTAAGCCAAACAAACAAATAGAACCAGCTTGAGCATCTTCAAAGATGCTTATGCCATAGGCAAGCATAAAATTATACTGACATCCATCCAGTTCGAGCAAGTACATTTTTGAACCATAAAACCATAAGACTAACAATGTTTGACTAGGGATACTGGAGCGGGCTCGACCAATGTGCTCTGCTACACGAAGCCCATTTCCCCACCTGTGGTGACACCAGGTGGTGACAGTTTGTTGGCAGTCGAGGCATCTCAACACATCGGCAGATATGTTAATATCACGGAAGTAAGTCACGTCACGGAAATGGAAATCCTTCTTCATACAGTCGAAATCTCGAAGTCAGATTAGGCGTGGCTATGGATTTGACGTGGCCTTTCCCGCACTTGATAAAAGCCGTGAGGATAGGTTGTTTCTAACGTACTAAATTTGATATCAGCAGAGCATGCTTATCCGCGCTACACGCTCCACTTCCATCAAATGCGGCGGCCGCCACGTCAAACCCATAGACACGCGCCTAATCTAACTTCGAGATATCGGGTATATGCTTTAGTACTTTACATACGCTCTTTCGATGCAAATTCTGGAACTGCTATTGAATATTTCACCTGTTCAGGCTGGTGGTCGGCCTCTGCTGGAACGAGATGGCACCAGTTCCCCTCGCCCACTTAACTATGCAGAAGTTGGTGTAGGCTCTGAGCCGGAAACGAGTTTCCGAGCAGGTAATCAGAGCACCTGCCCAATGTTATAGACCTGTAGTCGAAAGTACAAAAAAAAGTTGAATGAAGAAAAAGTGAAGTAGTGAGTATGTTTAGGTGTTCTTCTGTTGGTCAACGTACTGATATTGAAAATGGTGCAGTGAACTATACATTGATTGATGCCGAACGAACACAAGCCCTTCAAGCAGCGAATGGAGAGCGTAGACGTAATCCTACCGGACATTGAAAAGATACTCGCGAAGTTGGTGGACGTCATCAACTTTTTACATTGATAAGCTTATCCCACTAGCAAAAGCAAAGACTTCGACGGATTTGATTCTCAATCACTTTGTAGCTCTGCATGGATTTATTCTCATCATTATCCAATAGTAGTTAGTCATTAAGAATCGAGCGATCTTGTAAGACTTCTTTCGTCTTGGCTGGTGTCAGTGTCCGCGATCCTTAGCACCATTCGCACGATTTAGCGCGAATCGCAAAAATCACAGTGCCTCATTTGAGCATTTGAAACATTGAATACGAAAGAAAGGGAATCACGAAAGTCTTCATTCACCCTTCACCATCAAGCAGAAATTGCGGCGGGTTTAGCCCGCACCTCCAGCGCGGGACGGTTCGCGACTCGACACTCAGCCTTCGTATTTTTGCGTGTTGTAAAGATGACAAGGTAGTGGTGTTCCGGTTTATAATCTCTTCGCTGAGGCATTGGTGGAAGTCCTGGAAAGTTCAGCAAGTTCACCAGTTCTTATCAAAAGTTACCTTAAAGGACGAATTCACGATGAAAAAGCAACCCATTTCAAATTAACCTAGGGATGGTGAGTGGTACACGAAAGAAGGAAGAACCATGAGAAACGGCCCAGAACCCGAGAAATGGGACCCCTTCCTTGCCCGTTGATTTCGAGCATTGATGCGACTCTCATCGCTGTGCCCTCTTCAACACTACGCTCTCTCAGCTATCTAATCACTCGCCACCTGTTGTGATGATTAGGAATAGCGGTAAGGGGGGGGGGAACACCCGCCAACCTGCCGCCAAGAGTGGGCCATACAAAGATGCGCCGAGGTTCACAATTCTTTCACTGCTAAATTGCGTGCCTGTCCACCAGTCTCCCCACTCTGCAGTTTTCCTCATCTCAGACCTTTTTTATCGTAAAACACTTTTTTAGTGAGCGTGTTTCAAGGTTCTTGTGCTTATCGCCGAACACAAAAAAAAAACATAATATATTCTTAGCTTTATCCTGATCCTTATCGTTATATCGTTAAGCCGAAGGGCAGAACGAAATATACCCCTAAAACTTCATCTTCACCAGGAAATGTTGTCGTCCCTATTTTGCAAACTTTGAAACAACTTAGAAACTTAGCTTCAAATCATTCAACATTTGTTGCTCCGTTTTGGTGTTCTGCCACTTTCTCATACAGCATACATTCATGCTCCTGCGCACTCGGAGTGACCGGCCAGATGATTGAGGTAATGTTTCATCATGTTTCTCCGACATTCACTTATGGTTAACTCTTCCCTCACCCTGCAATATTCCATTTACGGCCAAATTAGTTCAAAGTCCGATCGTTGTGAAGCCAGTCACCGCCACCACTACCATTTAGAAATTTTCTTGCCGTTAATTTGCTTCATTTTGTTATGTTTTCGTCCCGAAGTCATTTCGGATTTGCATCCTTGTTTTCTCTCCTATCCTTTTTGTTTCCTTTTTTGTACTTGTAACCTCATTACACTCCGACTTGCCTTTGTGCCTTATTACAGAAAGCCTTTACTTGCTGTGCCTATCCACGTCGTATTATAGGTGCCACCGCATATTCTTGTTATTTGACCCTTTTATGCGTGTTATCCTCCATGCCAATTCACCCCATCCTAATACCAGTATTCGAATAGCTGTCATAAGAGAGATCTGTCATCAGTCGTACCTCGTCCTCAGAAAGCTCATAATTCGTGCCTGACTAGTCAGAAATATGCGTCACGTCTATCTAGCCAACCTTGGCTTTACACATTGATCATCACTATATTTCCCGGTTCATTGTTATGTTACCAGTTGACGTAATTATTTTTTTTACCAATCATGTGTTTGCATTTTCTGTTTTCCATATGAAATCTTTTTATACCAAATAATTTTGACTTTTAAATACACACGTGAGAAAGTAGTTCTCAAACCGAACAACATAACACATTCCCTGTTACAGAGGGACCAGCGTTTTCCAAGTTCTGTACAGCACAGCTACAAGAGACGTGTAAATACATGTACAGCTAGTAAGCTCTACTAATGGTAAGCTGTGGATGTTATATAAGAGAAGAATGGGGAGGGGGAGGTGGGCAATCGCATTATAATACAAACATACTATAATATTCAAATCGATCTAAGCATTTCCCGCAGGGAGACCACACATGGAGCAGTCTGGACGCTGTTCCGTATTTTCGAATGTGCAGTGCTTACAAGACCACGTTGACGTCACAGCTGACTCATTACCTAAAAATGAGTCGAAAAAGTTGTTTTTACGGCTGTTCTGGTTCTACACATCAAGTGGAATAAACGATTTCATCAGATTATAGCAAGGTCCGCAAATCAAGTTGAATCCGGGTTTCTTCTAGCTAAAAGTCAAGTATAACAGCGCCAGCTAACAGCATCCAGAAAAACCAGCATTGTATTTCTAAAAATAACTAAGTTCTAATTACCAAACGCATCACTGTATCTTCGCTTGACGCTCTCTGTAGGGGTATGTATACTTTGTCTCCGGTATGCACGTGCAGTGCATTGGCGAAATTGGGGTGGCATCGAATTAAGAACATCTTAAGGCACGTGATATCGTCTTTTCGTTAGGAATTTCGCAAAGATGTGCCACATCGTCCACCTCGTTGCGAGAGATGGCGTATAACTACGCCGCTTTATGTTATGTATTAGGATGGTAAGAAAGTCCTGAGCCGTTTGACACTTTTTTGTGCTTTACTTTTTTATTCCGCGTACAATGGAATCTACTAAACAATATAATCACCATTGTTACTCACTTAATCACCATTGTTACTCACTACAGAGTCCCACCTAATGGGCAGGTCAGCGACCCCCTTCTCCCAGAACTGAGCAGACTGAGAGTCAAAGAAATCGCTGACCGCTCTTTCAACGTCTTCAACTTTGGTGAATTTTTTCTTCGCTAGGAATGCCTTGAGGATGAAATAAGTGATAATCAGAGAGGGCAATGTCAGGGGAATAGGGTGGGTGGGGAACCGCGTCCCAGATCAGCTCTTCCAATTTTGCACGGGTCTCTTTAGCTATGTGGGGCCTGGCGTCATCGTGGAGTAGGTGGACAGAAGTTCGTCTCGGTCGTTTTTCTTGAACAGCGTCCGCTAGTTTCTGGAGCTGACTGGCGTAAATGCTGCCGGTAGCGGTATGTCTTTGCGGGAGCATCTCATAATACAACATTCCTCACGAATCCCAGAGGTAGCAAAGAAGACAGCTTTTGGGGTGAAGGTCCGATTTTGCTTGTGTCGGCAGGTCTTCTCCTCGAGGGAGCCACACGGCACTGTGCTTGTTAGAATCGTAGAGGACCCAACTCTCATCTCTCGTAATCATGCCTTCCAAAAACTCCTTTCGGTGCGGACAAAGAAGGAGAAACTGACAAATGGGTACCCGCCTGAACCGCGTGCTATCGGTCAAGACATGAGGAATCCATCGAGCCAGGCACTGATGATGGAAGTGGTGTCCCTTCCCAATGCGATGCTGATAATGTTGACGGTTTCCACTGCTCCTGTGCCGCAGCGCCATTCATTGAAGATGATCGCTCGAAAGTGCTCTTGTGGAATCGACATCATGATTAAAGTTAAAGAAGGCAACCCGGCTATATATACCTACTGCGGAGAAGTATGATCGACAGCGATAATCTATCACGTAGCAGATTCTAGGTATCGATCAATAAGCGAAAGTTCTGGAGCTTTCAAAAATCGGCTCAGGACTTACCATCCCAAGTAGAAATTTGAAGTCTATGCAGAGAACTTTTCCTCATACCGTGGCGCGACATCAAGCCGCACTGTCAATATTAGTGATCGTTAAAGACACCCTTACAATTTGAGATCTGCGACAGCACTCATTTCCTAACCCAATCAGAGCAACAATCCCAGCAGGGTTTTTACCTTCAACTCACTTTGGAAAACCGGTAGAAAGGGAGCTGAACGGCTTCGAAGTGGGCGTGGTTCCCAGTCGGCTGCAACCGATTCCAACCACGCCCACTTCGAAGCCGTTCAGCTCCCTTTCTAGCGGCTTTCCAAGGTGAGTTTTTTGTTCAGTCACACTTCTTATGTTCTTGACTAGGGCTAGCGCATCGTTCCACACCATTAGTGTCGAAGGTAAAAACCCTGCTGGGACTGTTGCTTTGTGATCACCACGGACAAAGTGAACTAACACAACCTACACATGCCCCTACCTACTACCCAGAACAGAGAAGCAAAAGTTGGAAGTCAACGGTGGCGAAAGTGGGGTGAAATCAAGTGGCTGAGGGCCAACGGATCAACTGCAAACGTCGACGACAGTGTGCTCAAATAGCATTTGGAAGAGAAAAGTGCATTTTGGAAGGTATTCTTTTGGCGTTATCTAGATATTGATTGTAGAGACCGCCGCATTTGAAATGGGTCCGCCAACTTTGTATTGGTCGTCGATGACAAGTTCCACTAGTTAGTGTGCATGGTGACGCACTCTTCGTAAAAGTCGTAATAAGAATTCATACTAACCAGAGGTGTTCAACAAAGTAAAATTCCTCACATCTGCTAATACCTTTTGCATACCTTCCATTTCATATCATACCAACTGTCACTTCAATGCAATTAAATCTAGGCAGGTGTGACAGAAGATGCGATGCAATTTAGCTCGGGTTTCAGTAATCTCTTGGCAATAGCCCTTCTACGGCTCTTCGTTATGCCGAAACCGTGATGTCACGAAGCAGGTGTCGCAGACGGATATCCTATGCCACCTAGTTTTTTCACCCCATCAAGGCCTTACATGCAGAAAACTCACTACGCCCTTGTTCGTGACACAGCGCGACAAGCTGTTGCCAATTAACTGTTTCTCGTGCCCATTCAATGGCCGCTTCTCGATCTTGGGTGCACACAGCGGTGCACAGCACCTGAAACATGAATCTGCAATGAGGAGTTCGAAATTGTCCAAATTAATCATACATAAACAAGTGAAACCATTAAAGTGTGCCAAACCAAGCTGAAGCCGCTCATTCGGTGAAAAAAGAAAAACACAAAAAAAATGAAATACATACCTGCATCTCAACTTCACTCATCTGCACTAGGTTGTTAGTCATAAGATATAACAAAAAGTGGAAGTTGGTGGCTTGCTCCAGAAACTGATTCAGAGAGTATTCAGCACAGTAGGCACTTAAATTCGCACCACCCTAAATTTTCATACTTAATTTGCCGTTGAAGTGAAAACAGCACTGCTACTGAACATAATTGCCCGCATAGCTAAGTGTGTGGTTAATTAGGACTGAAAGCGACTTTTCGGGTTTCGCACGCGAAGCATATTTCCGTTGGCGAGTGTTTTTCCTTCACTAACGGCATGTCTTTATAGACGTATTAAATAAATAAGTAAATGAATACTTCGCTTCGGGAACCTCAGGTCGCTGATGATGAGTGGACCAAGAGCTCGCAGCGAAAAATGTTTTGCGTTGCGAAACGCGATAAAGTCGCATTCTCTCCTAGTAAACCACACCCCATAGCTACTAGCATTATACCAAGGCTACTCCTTTATAGATATTGGTTCAATTATCTCAGATACGCATCACTCTCTAACAATCTTTCAATCTACACAAACAAAGAACTGAGAAATGTCCAATAGTGGCACAGTATAATTTAGAAGAAGGATCCACATACTTTTTTTCTTAGGTCAACCTTCGCATGGGGAACTATCGCAGTCACATGTTCACTTACAACCCGATAGTGTGGGTGCCTGATATGCCGTCTAAATAGCCTGCTTCGACAGGTCCGATTTGTTCTGATAATCTCAGGAAAGGGGTGTAGCTTGGAATTCTGACAATTCAAAGTGCCGTTGATGTATTGATTGCACCGGCCAGAAACCTCCCTTAACATGTCCGAGCCAACGAAAGCACAGAAAAGAGAACATCAAACAGATTAAGACTGAATGCACTTCATCTCATTCGAACGCCAGGTGCGGTTGCTTCGACGTCCAACACATTATTCCATGTCGAAATCATACCCGCCTTATGCGTATTTAGATTACGGAGATTATCCTTTCGAATGGTCACCATGAAGCTTTTGACTTCGTCCTCATGGGCGGAAGTTATGCAGTGGGAAGTGGCGCTGCTAACCACGTTCAGAGTCAGAAAATCAAACCCTGGATTGTATACCGTGTAAGTAACCAAGCTTTCCATCCCTCCGGATTCGACTAGAGGCGGAAGGTAGGATGAATTATTCGCGGCTTAAAATGCAGTAGAGGTGGCAAATGACGTCAAGGTGGAGAAAAAAGTGAGAGAAATGGCAATCCACAGCGTCCTTTTCCCCGTTCATTTCGGCTTTGATCAGATTCTACGATTGATGATGTCGTCAATGACAACGTACACTGTTTTTCTACATTCTCTCGTCTCAGCCGGCCTCGATCAACCAGTTACAGCCCGAGCGTATCAACTGGAGGCGAGACTCTGCGGTCGCACGGATAGCCTTTTTACAGATTTTCCCTTCCTTACCAGCTTACATGTGACATCCTGACTCACGCACTGGCGCATGCGGAAAGCAGTTCATTCAGTCATCCATTCTGCTAAGATGTGATCTACTATGGTCATTCGTGCGGAACGGACACCACCACTTCTGTTGTCCACAGGATTTCATACACTCCCTAGCAAACTGGCCTATTCGATTTGCTGCAAAACGAGAACTAGAGGTGGCATGGTTTATAAAATCTCACAGTATGAGGACAACGAGGAGAAGCACTGGGAGCTATATTGGATATGATCTCAACGCACGTGTACACATCTCTTGAGAGCAGTATATAGGTCTCACAGAAGAAACAAGAACAGAGACGGCAAACGCGAATACAACCTTTCCCCTGAGCAATGCGACCCTCAAGAAAAATGCCATCGAAAGAGGAAAAGCGTTCAAGAACTCCAGTTTATTAAAGTACACTACCGAAGAATGGATGTCCGAGAAAGATAGTAGACAAGCAAGGATCGAGTAGCGCGCGGAATTTGGATTTTCTCACCGAGCAACATTCGCAAGAGAATGCCCAAAAACAGGACGGTGTGAAATCATGAGAAGCCAACACAACATTATGGATGGGTTTGCGATCACAAGCTAGAAAGTCAAAAGAGAAGACTTAGGAATCGGCCAGGAGCAGGACACTCTCTGAAGAAGCTTCGATGGCACGGAGGTACACAATGGCCTTCCAAAGATATACAAAGAAAGGTATGCGAACTCCAACATCATCATCCATGCTCTGCCTACTGTACGGGACGAACTATCGTGTATCAGCTGATGGCAAAATTGGATGCAATGTTTCCCGATGTTACTAGCCGACAATAACATGGGGATAAATCGAACGGCGTGTCTTCATCAATACAGCTCGGAGCAGCATTTAGTCAAAGCGGAACCATAAATAAGGCTGGTGTCAGAGTCCTGCGATTCCTCGCGCGATGCGCAAAAATCGCAAGTGTCCCATTTCAAACATTTCCGAATGTGAAACATGTAGAATCAAACAGTCGTCATTCAATCATATCATCATCAACCAACCAAGCAGAAATGACGGTGGGAGAGGGCACTTGCTTTCTGCGATCTGCCGCGCGACTCGCGCGACAAATCCCAGACTCTGACCAACCTGTACGAGCACCAACACATGCTGCTTGACGGTCTGCTTGACGGTCCATTTCTAAACCCAGTAAGATCGATATCAATTTACGATGCCACAACCATGAAACATCTAAAACGGGTGTGCCACCATCGATGCTACCATGATGAATAGAATTTCCCAGAAGCATCTTCGGCGCATATACCCGCTACATTACCCGCTTTCTCAT